GCAGGATGTTCAACTGGGGAATAGAAAAGAAATTGCTGATCAGCAGTCACACAAAGCAATCCTTGATCCAGCGGCAGCATTACAGCAGCAGTGAAACCCCTTCTAGAATCGTCATCTATGTCTGCAACGACAGTAACATCTGATGACTTTTGCTCATACATGCAAGTTGCACTGCCAAAATAAATTATAACAAAAACAAATTTATTAAATGTGTGACAACCAAGAGACATAAATGTTGAGAGAAAAAAAAAAGTCAAAAAGATCTTGAAATTATTCCACATGAAATCAATAAAATATACTTCTATAATACACCATGCTTTACCCTTCAGAGTTCCAGATGCGCACAACCCCACGTTCTCCAACTGTGATAAACTGAATTGATGTCGATCCACTTTTCTTTCCACTTTTTTGAGAAGTACCCAGGTATGAGTCAAAACGAGTTCCAGAGTTGATGACACACACAGCCTCAAGGGCTTCATATGTTGGAACAGTGATCTTGCATCCATAGTTACATAGGTCCCACAAATTTACAACCTGAGAACACCAATTTTAATTTAAGCTCAGTAATTTAAATAACTAGCCAGATGCCATTACTGTTAGTCCAACATTCTCATACATAAATTTAACTAGATATAAAACAAAAAAATATCTAAGAGCTTGAATTGATCATATTAGTAACTTTTAAATCTCTAAGCTCAATTCGAAGTTCAACTCTAGAGACTATTGGACATTGTAAAATAATCACCCAGTTGAAAAACAACAAGGTGATAACCAGATGGATTGAAAAAGACCTACGAGCTTTTATAACAGATAGAGTATCAGACATGCTACTAGAAGCACTAAAAGGAACATGAAATGGCTTTTTAAAAAGAAAACATCAAACAATCACCAAGATGGTAAATTTGAATTAATTTCATTTAGCTTGACCAGGAATGAGGCATGGTTTATTTACATATTGGATAACTGTTAGTCAGATTCAAATAAAACCCCCAACCAACAATGCCTAGAGATAATTTCCAATTAATATGATATTTAAGTAATCCCACTAACTAAGATGCTTCATTGAGCTTCCCCCACAATGCTGCATCACATTTTCATGCAGGACACTGCAGGAAGGTGTCAAATAAACCCATTAACATTTTTGGCCCTTGACATTTTTAAAATAGATTCATTAAAGTTTCAAAGTAGCCACATCATATAGAAGATCAAGCGAGATAGGTCCCTGCCTTATCTCTGCCAGCACTCAGCAAGATCAATCCATCTTCAGATAATGCCATAGAAGTCACTGTTGAGAAATGCTTATCCAGTGTTGCAACGCATTTCTTGGCAAGAAGATCCCAGACTCGTACAGTTGCATCATCACTTCCAGAGAAAAGCTACAGATACCAGATGAGATAATCAATTGAAATTAAATTGAAACATAAAAAGAATAAACCATATGTGTGTAATATCTAGAACAATAAAACAAGAAAAAAATAGCCCAAAAAGCCTTTGATAATTGATGTCAAAACTTACAAGATTTTTATTGGAATCAGGATGGAACATGATACTAGTCACAACACCTTTATGACCTTTGAAGTAATGAGTACAGAATCCTCCATCAACATCCCAAACAAGGACTTTCCTATCAGCTCCTGCTGTTGCAAGCAATCCTCCAGAACCATGGCAAGACATGCCCATTACCGGGCCATCATGTCCCTACTCAATGACAAAGATATTTACATCATAAAAACAAAGTCCAGAGCTAAGGTCAGATTGCAAACGCACAAATAAACTTTTGCTCCTCCATTTCATCAACTTCAGAACACCTAAGTCCAGCTTTCATTCTTTTTTTTTTTTTTCTTTTTTTCTTTTTTTGCATTAACCTCTTTAATTTACTTGGCATTCCAACCCATAAAAATGCCAAACAAAAAGAAATTTTTAGACGAAACATTCAATATATCATCCAAAACAAAAATCCTGACCTTCCAGGAACGAATGCACTTTAACGTCTCCAAGTCCCAGACTTTTATCTGCCTGCTGTGGCCGGCAGTGAATAACAACTTATCGTCGGGGCTGAGAGCCAAGGCCGTGATGCTGCCAGACTCGGCCTCAATTGTCGACTTTGTAGAGGCATTAGACGAATCGACTATCTTTATTGTTTCACCACAAGCGCAGGCAATAATAGAGCCGTTGGAAGACACCACGAACGGCCCGCCGCCATAGAACTGCTGCAACGATTGCACAGAACGGTAGTTCGTCTTTAATGTAACGGACGCCATTCTCTTCTATCTAGAGGGAGCAAAGGTTTTTCCGTCGAGGATATAAGTTTATGCAGAGAGATTATTCGCCGCAGGTTTTGGGCGGTTTAGGGTTTAGGGAAGACGAAGGAGGATGCAGGGTTTTACGGCAAGCGGGAGGCGTTGTTCCCTCTTTTTTTCTTTTTTTTTAAGAAATAACATATAAAAACAAAAAATTAATTAATTAATTTAAAAAATAAAAATTAGGAATGACGTCAGGAAAAGATCACTGAGCTTTGAAAACATGATAACGTTGGTCCCTATAGTTTGTTTAGGCTTCTTTTCAAGTGCGTTACGTAACTCTTTTTTCTAAAAATGTAAATTTATTATAAATAATTAATTTTAATTAATAGTTTATATATTATAATAATTTTAATTAATATTTTATATATTTTTATAATAAAAATTATTTTAAAAAAATATATAAAAGAAATCTTTGTGATCCAAATGATTACATATACTTTACAATTTCATCTTAATAGAGGTGTTGGATTCAAATATCATCCTCATGTTAAAAGAAAGAACATATCTAGATTCACAAACAAAACTTTAAATTATAATCTCTCAAGCTTTGACAAAATAGAGTTTTATCAATAGTAATGTTTAATGTTGTAAAATAAAGAAAAAAAAACAAGTAGAAAAAGTATAAATTCGAGGTGTAAAGAGAAACAATACAGTATGAAATTTTGGTTTTGAATCAAATGTTAAAGTGAAATATGTTAAAAGATGAGAGATTATTACTTTCATTATACAAAAAAAAAAAAAAAAACTCGAAGTGTAACAATAAGTCAAGAACATCACTCAAAGTTTAATTCGAGCATAACTTTTATTTATTTTTTTATCAAAGTAAAACTCATATAGATATCAAAGTGTTGCAAGGGAACACATATGAAGCATAAATGGCTACTTTTAAATTCCTACAAAAGTTTATAAGGAGTTATTATTTTATAATTCTATAACTAACCTAATAAACTATTCAAGTTAACTCTAAAATCTTTGAGTCATTAAACAACTCAATTAATTTATCTAAACCCAAATGATTGAGATAATCTCCCTACCATAACTTTTCCCAAAATAGAATTGAAAACAAATGCAACTCTATTAATCATAATAGATAATTGACTTCCATACAATCTTGCCCAAATCAAAACAACTTTTTGAAAAATTAAAGATAAGTTCTGAAAAATTAAGGATATCAATACAGAAATCTCCCGCTTGCCTCATATGGAGATTCACTTCTTGTTTGCCCTTAGTCGACACCATTGTTTCTCGTTGACCAAGCTCCACCACAACCATGACTATTCTTGATGTCTCTTTCCACTACAAGCCACTGGACCATCTCTATGCCTTTGTCAAATTTGATATATGGTGTTTATCCTCCCTTCCTACACCACGATTGTACAAGAACAACTCATTCACCTCGTGCCACACGCTAGCAATTGCCACTAACGGAGCAAAATACAACATCCATCCACGACCATCACGAACAGGATTAGGATCTACTCCCGGATTCACCACATCCCCTAACATAAACTTCACTAAAGCACCAGCCACCTCCACCACCCCAAGGCATAGAGTATGGAACATAAAACACAACATTCCCACAAGCACTAGTCAACAACTAAAGTAAAGAGAGCAAGCAAAAAAATTTCACACCAACGATGGAGAGAAAATAGTAAGGAAAATAACCGAACATTCTGCAGGGGAGTAAACCATGGATTATATTACCCCAAGCACCATTTAAGTTTACTAGCACAAAAATAAATGTAAAATATAATCAGTTATAAATCAACTGTAATCAATTACTTTAGATAACTATGGATAAAACTAATTATTTTTTATTGTAATCAATTATATTAATCAAAATGTTTTTTTCCGAAATGAAGCCATGTGAAAAAATTATTTTTTCAAGACCAAACCAAACAAAAATAAGAGTCCGTTTGGTATAGTGGTTTTGGGATAGTAGTTAGCGATTTAGGTTAAACTATTAAATATAAGTGTTTGATAAATTTTTATATTTTGAAACCACTACAAATAAAGTGTTTAGTAAAACTTTTATTTAATGGTTTGAGAGTAGCGGATAGCGATTAGAATCGAAACCGCTAGCGGATTGAAAAAGTTAGTTTATATAACTTTTCGTATCAAATCGCTAGCGGATTAAAATTTTTTAATTTTATTGACAAATTTATTCATTTTAATTTTTTAATTTTTGGTCACATTTTTAATTAATAATTATCTAATAAATTTCAATTTTGTTTTTTACTTTTAATAA